GGCTCGGAAGGGACGCGGAGGGCTCGCGGGTCCTTCGCGGCCGGCGCGGGGGAGGAGGGAAAGCGGTTGGGATCGCGCGGCCGAGCGGTGCGGGGCTCGGGTTTGGCAGGCTGGAACTTGGCCCAGAGGAAAGGGAGAGGAAGGGAATGCTGGGCAAAGGGGGACGGCAAGGCCCGGGGGACCCTTGCGCCTCGGATCCGTCCAGTGCCTCAGTTTCTCTCCCTGTACGATGGAGACCATTCGGGGAGAGGACGGGCCGCAGGCGGACGCTTGCAGCACTGGGACTATTTGAAGACGGGAAAACTGATTTGGGCGGGGTGGCAGATGCCTCTTTCTTTAATACCCGAAGCGGTGGTGTGGCGAAGAATAAATAAACTTGTTCCTTTGGACTCAAGATGAGAAGTAGATCACCACATTTAATTTCAGTATTGGAGAATAATTTAGTTTGTGACCAGCAATTGTACTTGGAATAAGCATGCAGATACACTGGAACAGGAATCCAACAGGATTTTCATTGCTACGTTGTTTGTAAAAGGATTGAGACCAGTCTAAATGTCCATCGGTAGGGGATTGAGTATGTATGTAAATTATGGTGCATCCATAAAACGGATTACTATAGCAAGAATTAAGAGACCCAGGAAAATAAAGATGTAGATACAATTTAGCTGTAGACTTGTGAAAAGGGGGTGATAGATAATACACATAATGCTGGCACATGCACATATGAACTCTGGAAAGAGATCTGGGAGATGGGGGTGTGGTATAAAATAATGCATTTTCACTGTACTTTTATGTAGTATTTTCAGAAACCAAGTACATGTATTTTCAAACAATATATAAGAATGTAGGAGATCAGGAATATGCCACCCCAAAATATGCCATTTATAAGGATTATTTTGAGCTGAAGGCATTTGAGAAATACGCAAAGAAAGACTCTGCCCTAACCCAATAAATTTCCCTTTGCTTAGGTTCCACTCCCCTCCACCTGGGAGAGCAGCAATTAATCACAGGAGACAACTCTAGACTCATCAGTGAGAGGAATCTACATAACAAATCTTGTGAAACACAGTCCTTATCTTCCATTAATTTTTGCCTTGAATCTGCCTTCCCACAGCATGTCCCTCTAAAAACCTAAACCCCTTTCTATTGTCTTAGCACTTCTCTACAAATTTAAAGTTTACCAGCCTTGATCAATTGGTATAAAAGCCTCCATGCCTAGCAAGTCACTGAACCCAAGAGAGTAAAAGACAAATTTCCCTCTCCCACAGGTGAAAAAACACACACCTAGTTTTGACAATCAACATGCAAAAATGGGAGGGGCTGTTTGGATGGCAGTGAGCCCCCCACCCTAGAAGAGATGTTGCTGAGGGATTCTTGCAACAGGTGGAAAACTGAAGTAGAGGATCTCAAAGATGTGCCTTCCCCCAACTTTGCCGCCTAGATGAGGCACACTTAATCACTTCGGGTTAAAAACATTGAGAGATGGGCAGGATCCCACATTTGGGAGGACTAATGCTTGCAGGTCAGAAAATGAAAAACTCTTCACTGCTGTCTTGACCCAGGGTTCCTCACTGAACATAAGCAGTGCTCACAGAATGTAAACAAATATCAGACAGGGCTCCATAGTTGGAACAAGGCTGAGACAAATGATTCAACATCTTTCTCTTCTAACATGAGTGGATCCTGCTTTTTTCCCCTTTTTCCCCCCCTGCCTTTTCAATGACAATTCTGGCCCTTCTTTAATCTTCCTACCTCCAGGGTAAAAATTAAGATACCTAATCATCAAATTGTCCCTGCTACTTGACTGTGTCCAATTCAAAACAACTACCCACTTCCTTAAGCCATCCTTAGAGATACCAAGCACAAACTCAAATCCTAATATAAACTCTTCCCAAGTTACCAAAATTCCTCACGGTTTTCCTGGTGTGTGCTCTCCCTTAAAGAATAAGCTAAATAAATCTTTTCTGTTATAGGGTTGTAAGAGTTACCTGGAAGGTTCAGTGGTCCTGAAGCAATCTGACTTGGGCAGGCATTTGGGGTAAGGGGAGGAGAGAGGCTGAGGCAGGAATTAGGAAAGTTTGAGTAATTCTCCTTCCTCTGCCATCAACCCTTTCTGTGGCCTTCAGCAAACCACTTCACTTCGAGCCTTTTTCCATTTCAGTAAAAGAAGAAATCTGAGTATATTTCTAAGGCTTTTTCCAATCTAAATATTATAGGATTCTAAACTCTACAGGTTCTTATATTCTCAGGTAAATGTTCCCCTACATTAGTCATTTGTCCAACATTATCCTCATTGTTGTCACATCTACCTACTGTAAGCACAGAAAAAGGCCGCTCTTTTTCTTTGTTGTGGCCTTCCACAAGTTATGAGAAGCACCTGGTAATTAAAGGAGCGGTTGCACGCTTCCCAGATTCAAGCTGCATCTCTGTTCAAAGAGCCCGACAGATGAGGGCTGTAAGGGCCCCACTTGCCCCACCCCCCCTCCTCCCTGTGGTTTTAACGACTCCAGGATAATTCTCATCAGTCTCTAGTTAGTAGGAAGTGCCCTCTCCCCTCCCCTTCAAACCCAAGCCTCCCCTTTAGGAACTCTGTAACTTTTGCTCGATGCATGTTTTACAGGCTTGCGAAGATGCTGATAAAAACATCTCCTTAGGACATCTGCTGGACAGTCTCTTAGAAAGCAAACAAACTGTAACTTCTCAAGACAGCCCTCGGGATCTGGCAAACTTCAATGTTATCCCACTCCCTTCTTTATCGTCTTGCCACAGCTGCCACTTAGTCCCTAATACCCCAATAAAAAAGCAACCCGCTCTATCTTTGTAGCCTAGTGCCACCTAAGGGCACCTGGCCCTTTCCTCCCTTGGAAAGTAACATAAATTTCCACCCTGCATCTATCTCTTCTCTCAGTTGTGAATTCTTTCACAGTCCGCGTCACCAGCCAAACCCTAACACACACCACCTATACTGGTACGTATTTAAGTAAGTCATTTTCAAGTATTTCTTTTTAAATAGAATCTCAATTTTTACTGACATCTACAAAAGGAAAATTTACCTCATTGCTTAAATGGAAAACCAGCATTGGTTGGTAGAAATGGAAGAGTTTTTTGCAAACACACACACACCCCCTAAAACCTGTTATTTAACTGTGGATGTGGCTACCTTTGGAAAGATGTGGAAAATGAAGCCTTTATTCTTGAGATAAGCAAATGTTAGAAAAATATTAAATACATACTAGTCCCAAGCAAACCTTTTCTTTGGTTTGAAGTAGGACTTTTTCACTGTGCCTTTCAATGTTACTTAATGTCATGTTCATTTCATTTACCCCAAATGATATACAGTGCCCACTTTTTAGGAAACACTGCCCATTTTCCCTTGACTCTTTAAGTTCTCAGATTAAATATAAACTCCTCAGAAAAGCCTTTCAGTCCTACCCTTCCCCCCAACTAAATTGCTTTCCCCCTTACACAGTGGGCATTAAACTTTTATTGAAAGAATATTCCCTTATGCTACGTCTTCATAGTACTCATCACAATATATCATGGTGCATTTATGTTGTCAGTCGCTTCTTAACCAGGCCAAAAATTCTTGTACACTTCAGTACCCCAGATACTGACACATAATGGGCTTGAAGTAATACAAATGAGGTGAGGAGATGAAGCCTCCACAACTCCTGCGGCGCCAGCAGGTTCAGCCCTGCCTCCTCCCCCAACAGGGGACAGGGTTAGCCCCGCCTCCCTTAGCCCCGCCTCCCCTTAG